GGCAGCCAATTGCCATATCGACTTTTTATTGCGAATCCATATTAAAATGAAAATGTTTTGACACCTTAGTGTGGCTTGTCCCCAAGAAAGCTTTGAACTGAAGAATGGTTCGGACAGATAAGCCTCGCAGAAAGGAACCTTTTCGCATGCCAAACAACCAAAATCGCAAAAATACAAACTAGTACAGAGGCAAAATAACCAGACCACTTCAAAAATATGTAGAAAAAAATTTCACATCCAAGAGTAATGCACAGCACACATCTTCTATAAACTGAAGACCGAAATCTTTGCCCAGGTCTTTGTCTCAAAATGATCAATACACACAGATGGTCTGTGAGCCGGATGTTGTAACATGAAACGGCATGGGAAAAGAATGAAGCAGCATGATTGATTTAGTGTGGCTTCACTGAAAGCAATTTAAAAGCCATTCTGAGCATCAAACTCAGCCAAAAGTGCAAACAGCTAATAGCAGAGACATAAATAAATTTGAACATTAGTGAAAGATCTTAAAAGCAGAGCTCAAAGGAAGGTGCCTCATGAACTTGGCGCCCAGGTTAAATTCACGTTTTCAATTCAGAAAGAAGAATAGTACTGAATGATGTGTGGATTTCTTTCCTGTTCGGATCTGCACACAGAACAGAGCAGTATGCCTAACTGTACGAATGCATCATAACTCCCAAAAGAGGATTACACCAGCAAGCCCTTCTGGGACCTTAATGACCTCACTCTGTCACAGCAGAGCCGAAAACATTGTTCAACATCGCCTCAGGTGCTTCCTGTGTGTCTACACCACCACTGCTTCACCAACAGGAGATCCTACCAGGGCGTCATCACTAGTGTTTTTTTAGGTTCCGTTTACTTCTGTTGTTTATTAAAAAAAAAAAACTAATTAAAAAAAAAACTAATAAAAAACTTCCTAGTCCTGCAGCATTAACTCTGCCTCATCCCCCCCATGCGTCACATCTGCAGCTCCTCACGAAAGATTATCTGACTATATATATTCAGCCGTATCATCGATGGAGATGAGGCTTATTGGATGAGATGCTGTTGAGCACGTTAAATGTAGGGAGGGCAACCAACACAATCTTCACAAACTCCCGCCCTTTTTTTAGGCTGAGGTGGGTATTTTTAACCCCCTGCATTCCTCAGGGAGGCAAAAGCAAGGCAGGTCAAGCAGAAAGAAAGTAAATGCAAAGCATCACTGTAACAGTGGGAGGGGGAAACACCCAAATAACATCTGAACATTGTGGACGCACATCACACATACAAGTGTATTATTTCCATGTAGTGCATTTCTATAGATTAATGTCATCTTCATTTTACAAGACAAACGCATCTAATTCATGTCCAGGAATAAACCAGTCTAGTCATATGTGAGAGTCAAACTTAACAACACAAATTCCTTCATCATATATCATTAGAATTCTTAAATATTATTAATTTAAAGGATAAAACATTACCTTCCGGATGATGTCTTATCCAAGTATGTACACTGTACGTAAAAATAACTGGTTGTTTTGCAGGTTATTGGTGTTCCAAAGGCATCAACAGGGAATGCACCAATATGCTTAACGGGATTTTAAAAGTGCATACTAACCATTTATGTTGTTAGCAAACTGAGTCTTCTTTAAATTTTCGTGTTTATGTTCATTCATTTTTATACACACAACTCGCACATGCAAAAACAAAAACAACACCGCTGCCTCCGCCAGGAGGGACTACTTTTAATTAAAGATGCTGCAAGAAGACTGCTGCGGGGGTCTATACCCGAACGAAATAGGTTATATAACTTTAATTGCTCTAAATATTTTTTAAAGATGTCTGAATATGTCGTGACAGAGTCTAAAAAGCATCGTTTTTCCGCAACTTCTTCTTTTTTTTTCTGAATTAAAGTGCAACATAGTAGCGGGGCTGTGTCGGACGAACGTGCGCCGGGGTATTTAAAAAAAAAAAAAAATCTGTTTACGAAAAAAATGGCGCCGAACGCACAACAAAACAAACACCCATTCAAACGCACCCACCGAACACCTTAAATTGGGCTTACCTACTCTGAGTTTAGCATCAAGGGAGACAAAAAAAAAAAAAGGGCCCAAAAATATCCGATAATTTCCCGGTATATATTCCTGACGTTCAGGGGAGTAACAATGTTTCGCAGCGACACATGCTTTGTTGTGCTGAAGGTGTCCTGATGCTCGTAAAGGGGCGGAGTCTCTGGCTCAGCCAGAGCAGCCTCAGCTCTAGACAGAAGATGGGCACAAGTTTCATGCAATCCTGTATATGCCAATGAATGTCAGTCGGTGCTGCAGGATTCCAGTTTGAAAAGAAAAGCAATCGATACTCTCAAGGGCTGTTTGAAATAGTCGTGTTTCCATTTATTGTCTGTGACTGTGCCGCAGTAGCCATAAAGTAGCTGAAGAGAGCAATTATTAACAGAGTTCAATGTCCAGAAGCAGGGGGGGGTTGAGGGGGAAGGGAGCTGCAGCAGGATTTCTTTCCCTCCATATTTACATTTTTATTAATCTAGGCACCCAACCAAACCCAACTACACTGTTTAAATTAGCTGTTAGAATTAGATGATATTTTGCCTATGTTGCATGTCAAAAACAAAGGATTTTCTCTTAACCCTTGTGTTTAGAAATGGGGTCCAACCGACCCCACACCCGTAAAACTTGCATCATTTGCCACAGTCCTCTACGTTTGCCTCAGTCCTCGCACGCACAAGGGTTAAAGATAATGTGATAAAAAATTAAAGTGATCATTTTGATGTTTCGAAGAAAACTAACTAACTTACCAGAAATAGTTCCCTTACCAATAGTGGACCTGTGTCATTTTGCCATGAGTTTATAGAAAATTAATAAACATACAGAGTACAAAAAAAGAGTCAGTTAAGGCACTAACTATTTTAGCCATTTAAAACGAATCACCTTCGTACCAAAAAAGAAAAATTGCTAAGTGGATGTTAACGGTCTACATTTTCACAAGGGACTGCTTGAAGTTAGCACAACTTTGTGTTGAAACACTAAAGTTACTTTGTGTCAGGCAGCCTCATCAGATGATTTTGAGGCTGTACACACAACTTTCCAAATTTTTTCCAGAACTGGAAAAGCAAAGGAATTGCCACCTTCAATTTCACCACACAAATGACAGTCTGTGGTGAAATTTCAAAGTTTACTCTACTCTTGGTAAACTCAAAGGCTGATGAGTGCAGCCAATGAGGTGGACTGAAACCCTAGTCAATTTGCCCAGAAAACAGTGCCAAGCATAACCCCATGTAGCATATAATTATATATGCAGTTTATAAACATACACATGTACACACAGATGCACTGTAGCATGAGCTACACTTGAACAATACTAAACATATTAAATTTATTCTAACGTTTCAACGACAGCATGGCTAGGATGTGCCATTCATTGGCAATGTCTGGACTCTACTGGATAATGAGTAGGAAAAGCAGTGAATGGAACCAACATGCTCTTAAATTCCAATTAAAATGTTGCATTAACATATTTTCAGATGTAAATTGGATAATGCAATACTAATGAATTTGATCATTTAAAATGTAAAGAATTTTAATGGCTAAGGCTGAATACCTACCAAAATTGCTTTTTATAGCACAATAAGTGGTACTGAAACTGAAATATTTTGGGAGATATGAGGAAATAAGAAATTTGTCAGGGAAACTGTTAACACACCCTAACTCAAAAAACAAACGCATGTGCCTGATAAAACACACACACTAGCTTGTCTTCATGAAGCCCGCCACGGTCCCCACCCATCTGCCTGACCCCATTAGGGACATACGGCTTATAGGCAGAGTGGGTAAGACGGGGGGTGTGGAGGAAAAGAGCGTTTATTATTCTCTTAACCACAAGGGGCACGGCACCATCTTTTTTTTTTTGTCTCACATAGCCAAACTTCTGTCATTTATACTCAGTCGCAATTGATTGAAAAAGAATTATCTTACCGGGTTAAATGTTATTCCATAAATCCGATAACTCTTATTGCTGTGAACTAGGCAGCAGGCTTCACAAGACAGTAAGGAAACCAAACCAAGAGAAACTATGTTGATTGTTATCTGTTAGACTTTGATCACAGAGCAAACTTACTATACACACAGCCTGCCAAACAGCGATGTTAAACATTTACAAAAAAAAAAAAAAAAAAAAAACCCATGGGGGGAAGCCAGCAAAAACGAAGGGGTATTTTGTATAAGTTTTTTTTTGGTAGAATCTGTTTCCTTTTACTTTAGTTTTTTTTGGATCTAAAGAGCAACCAGGTAAAACAAACAAAGAGGAAGCCTTCAGTTGCTTGGAAACCCCTCCCCATCCCTGTGCCTATACTGCAAGGAGCAGGTGTTTAGCTGGACCCAGGAGAGGGAGCAGAGACAGAAAGCAGAAGGGAGGAGACCAGGAGCAGCAGCAGCAGCAGCACTTTACAGACCCACAGTCCCCTGAGACAGTGACAGCCTGGAACCACAGACAGCGAGACAACCCATTCCTCAAAACACACTCACACTGTGGACTGGACACAAACAAAAAAAAAAAAAAAACTGACACAAACAACTCTGCCTCCTTGTTCTCTGCTGTTCAAAAGGCAAAACACATGATGGTGCAGTGCATTACTCCAGCTGAGTGCTTGGGGGTTATGTTTGTTTCGAACATCTTTATCCCTCTCCTGGCACGGCCACTCAGTGATTACATAACGACCCCCATCGCAGTGCTTCCGCCCAGTACGTCTCTCTCTCTCTCTCCCTTTGACTATCAAAACTGCATCTAGGTACAGATCCCCTCACACGCGACTGCACTGCCACGTCTCCAACTCTTATGTAAAACAGCGTGCCCAGCTTTCAAACAAGCTTTAAATATAAAAATCACATTGCATGTATGGGAGGCATGGTTGCAGGGGTTTTATTCGTGCTGAGCTCTCAGGAACACCGAGCGGGACGGAGGGGCAGCCGTGTATTAATATTCACAGTGCGCCATTATGTTATGAAAAATTTATGAATCGGGAATGGTTTGTGCCTCTGTATTTTTATTTTTTTTTCTGCAAGCATGCAATCATCTTTTGTATTTCCATCAGCTGGAATTCTCAAGCTAATATAGTTAGGGAAATTTTAGGAAATTACAAATCACTTTTAATAATAAGAGATTCAGATTTTTGCAGGTAAAAAAAAAATGCTATTTGCATGCACTAAAAACATTAATTTGGATCCGAGGCTCGCAGTGTGGTACACAAGTAATTCTAGCAGAGACTCTAGGCCAACTGAATGCTTCCTGAATTGTGTTCAGCAGGATTATTGCTGTCCTGGCCAAGCTGGTTCACACTGCCATCTGGTGGATAAAATAAATGCAGCATCTAGGGAAACATAAAAACTGCATGGTATTCAAAATCAAATGTAACTGAAGGCAAAAGTCTACTTCTCAAACAACTAAATAAAAATGTATGAAAGAAGTGAATAAAGAAACATGCTATTTCATAAGCCAAAGTTTTGTACAACAGATAAAATAACATTAAAAATAACATAAACAACAAAAACTGACAATAAAATCATGGCAATAAGTGCTTAATAAAACACAAAGTTTTACATCTTTTTCAAAGTGCCTAAAGAATGAGAAAAAAGTCAAAGAAGCAAAATGTTCCACAGCTTTGAAGCCACACACTGAAAGACATCATGGCCCTCAGTTTTTAGTATCGTAGAAGAAACAATCAACTCATCCTGAGCCTGGGACTGAAGGTCACAACCAGCAGTATGTTTGGTTAAGGGTTGCCTTTAATGTGTCAAGTTTTCAAACTTGAAACTTCAAAATAGAGTGAATAAGATGTCAGTGGCAATGGATAAAATGTGTTGTTTTGAAGATACAACAACAAAATGGAAAGGTACTTCTGTTGTACTAGTTTTAAAATGTAGTCAAATATGGCTGCACAACAGCAAGAAAACATTTAATAGCCTACAATGGTGCTAAATGCCACATTGATGATATGAAGTGCAATAAATAAAAGAAAAAACAAGAAGTGTTGATATCTTTCTACTCTTCGTTCATTGTTTTGGCATTGAGTTCTTAGCAATGCAGTTTGCTAAGAACTCAAAAAGTATCTTTAAACAATGCTCCACAGATTAGCACTACACTATGCACAGTGTAACAGGCATACAAAGCACGAATACATAGTACCTATTCTTGATGAGTCAGTAGGGGTTTTACCACCCACTGTTTATTTTGTGTTTTCATCCAGGTCTGACCCGTAGACAGTCAAATGAGCCGTACCCTCTGAATTCAAGCCACAGTGTGAAACATGAGATCATTAGATCCATCTCATAACAAGGATTGCGAGTCACTTGGAATACATCAAAAATATTCAAAAGAAGTTGTGCTGAAGAGGAAATCTCAGGAGAATCATGATTCCAAACACCAAGATCTCATTATGTACTGCCAGCACAAACCGCGAACCCTACTCTATGTGGGTTCTATGTGCTATGTTCTATGTGCCTGTGCTTAGGAAAAATCATGTCGTTCATAAGGCACATAGCAATAATCCTGTGCTGGAATATCTATTTTTAGGTGATGCTGCTCAACTCCATGCATTTCTCACAAACAGGCTTTATCCAAATAAATCTCAGTCTAGAGATTGACAGGAAAACTAAACCTGCAGGGAATCTTTTAGTAAGTGTTTGAGTTTGCAAAGAAAAACTGCCCAACATTTCTCTTCTTCCTTACTTGCTTTAGAATGACAACAAATTTGACCCATTTTCTTCTGCTTGACTTTGGCATAAGTGTGTGAAGTGTTCCCAATGCAGTTGCATGCATAAAAAATAAAAGCTATATTGGGATTTCTGGGCTTAACTTGCCTTTTGTAAAACCCTACAACTGTAGCTTGACGATATACTTTACCATGAATTAACTGATGGGGATTCCACATCAGGCCAACTATGTTTTATCAGTGAAGTCTAATGGACTCTATGAGCATGTGTTCCTGATAGATAAAGACGTGTTTGCGCTCAGAGGCCTCGGGGAGACACTGCCACAGCACCCCTCCCATAGCTGGTTCAGCTGGCAGCTGAACTTGCAGCTGGTTGACAGAAACTGTTAAATTATTTTACCGCCAAGCTTTCCTTGTAATTTTTGCTTGATATCTTGCTCAAATTGGTCTTGAAAGTTGGCCAAAAAAAAAAGTGCCAATAGGAAAATAAAGTAATGTTCCCTTCTATAATGAGAATACAACGTAGTTCAGGAGAAGGCATTAATTATAGTGGACAACTGCTCGAGTCAAAATGTAATTTAAAAACGAGTAGCTTTAAACTAATGAAATGCTTAACGCTTGAGGAATATTGTCCGATATTTAGATGCCCAAGTTAAAGCAATGGTGTATGATTATGTGTAATATCAGACTGCGACATAAGCAACAATAGCTCATTAAAACTTGGATTTTTATTTGGTACTCACATATTTCGTGTTTAGCAGGTCATCACACGTTGTGTTGGCAGCCCCAGTGAGAAGACCACACAGAAGCAGAGAGAGAGAAAAAGTGCATCAGATCATGAAAAACAAATATTTATTTAACTTAACAAAACATGCAAATTAACTGGAAAGGAACAAATTTATTTAAAATATATGCCATTACAGAAGTCACACAGCAGATTTAAATTCAATAAAAAAAATATATATATTAAAAAGTTTGAATTTGAGTTTCTGCTTTAGTTTTCAGCTCAACACTGTGTTTTAGTTCATACCTTCAGGCTTGCAGCTCTTTATGTTTGGATTTCTATGTATTTGGGGCCCCAGACATCAGAGTCCAACCAGCTTTATCGTGTATTTCTTGTCATTATTATGTCATTGAAGCACCGCTTTAATCTAAGCCCCCTGCTTATTTCTTTTCCCCACACAGTCTGGCGCCACAAATACCCCTGACCTGGTTGTGTTTGACATAATCCCACAGCACAAGCTACACTGACTGAACTCTAAAAGGAACTGCTGCCGTGTGGAAAACCAGAAAACGGGAGCTTGCTACGCGCAAGGTGTGCAACAACAACACAAGCGGCGGGGTCCCGGAAGACAAGTCATACCTGAGCTGATACGTGGCTCCTCTGTGGCCTCTCCCCACCTTTATTCCATGTCATAATCCTGCTGCTCGCCTTTGGGTCAACTCAGAAACTAATCGATCAGGTTTCCACTGAGTGCGACAGAGACCGAGAGAGAGGCGGTGACGCAGCTGCAATGACGAAGCACTTGCTGGGGATGGGTGGAGATCGGATCAGAAGGTGGAAGCTGTGCCTAAAAAAATGGCTCAGGTTGTTGGGTGGTCTATACAGCACCGAATCCGGTAATGATCCTTCTAAAAAATATCCCTGCTTGTGCGTGAAAATATTACGTTTCACACGTCAGGTGAGTCTGCGCCTTCATTCAAACAGACATGTGATTCAGTCTCAACACTTGGCAAACTAATGTCAGTGAATTTCAGTGAATAATAAACCTAAGGTTGGGTCTTTCTTGCGGAGACCACCGGCCGGCACATAAACTCGTGTCAGCAAATAAAAACACCACTTACGAACTTTATTCCTAGTTCCACATGAGGGCGCTGTTTAGTTCTTTCACAGTGGCAATTTTATAGTGCACAAATGTTTTAAAGACCTTTTTTTTATGTTTTCAAAAACGTGCTATTTGGAACTATGTCATTTAGTTGGATAATAGCTTTGTTTGGCATAGCTATCCCAAAGTTCTCTAAAGCCCTGAGCAGAATTCTTACAAAACTATTTGCACTTATTAAACTATTTAAATACAGAGTAGTGAAAATATTTTACACCTTCATAGACCAACTGTATTCAAACTTAGAAACTCAAAAAGGACTCTCTCTCTCTATAAATTAGTTGAGTTCTAAACAGCTGGTTGCTCTGGATTTTATTTTGTGGCATCAAAGTAAAAGGGGTTGAATCCTTATGCATGCCACGCTTTTTTTTTTATAGTTAACATCATATGTCGTGTTTCTTTCACATTTCACAACTGTTTTGAAACTCACCTAATCTTGAACAATTAGCAACTGATTATCAGAGGAAATGCACAGTTTTACAGTACAATAAGCTGGAAAATCTTATTTCTTATTTGTTTTTTGTTTTTTTTAGAGCAGAAAGATCAAACTTATTGTTGTTTTTACAAACAAAAGCCATTACTCTGTTACTATTATCATATATGAAAAGTTCACTGAACTGTGTTCGTAGCTCTGACAGAAACTGCAGAAACTACCTATTTAGTTTTACATTATAACTTTGTTAGCATAAGTATTAATATTTTTCTTATTGTGTGTGAAGCTGGTGCATTTACCTACCTGTCTGGTATCAATTTATTTTCCCATGGGGCCTTCCAGCCAGCAGGAGGAGGACCTGAGCACCTGCTTGTAGCTTGGACTGGCCCTGCATCCGAGGAACAGCTGAGACGGGCCAAGTTTAGAAGTTGGCAAACGTGCCTGTGTTTGCAAAAAGAGATCTCTGGCACAGTGACTATATCCATCTTTAGAGTGGTATCTGTGATGTGTATCTGTGCTTCCTTTAACATGGGAGTTGAGCCTACAAGGTATAATGACTCAACACTAATCTTTGACAAGGCTTTTTTTTTCATTTCTAAATATTGAATTTATTTGCTGGTAAGGTTGTGTTAGGACACGGCAACAAGAAAACAAACAATATCAGTTTAACCAATTTTAGTCCACTTTAGTGTATAATATGCAAATATTATCTAGACAATTACAACAACCCAGTTTAATGCATTTATATGTATTGATTTATTCATAGTAGGATAATATATTCCAGTGAAATGTTGTGATATACATATCGGATTGCAAGAAATCATGCTTCTTCCCCCATTCCAACCATTCACATAGCAGAAGGTGACAACAGAGAGGAAGAACTGTGCATTAAAAGGAAGAAACTTTTCACAATATCCTGTTTTAGACCAAAACGGTGGCATTGTTCTCATTATCTGTTACCAACAATTAATAATAATCTTTATCTTGAAAGTTTGCTCTATGTTTGTAGATTAATTGAACATCCTGTCATTTAATGATAATCTCAGTACCCATCATTTAAATGGTAAAACACATTCTTGAATTATTGTATTATAGAAGTATTGATGTTATTGAAGTTCATTGCATAGCCTAAATATACTTTGCCATGCAGAGTTTGTCTCCGCACTGCATCAATGGCTGAAATATATGTATACAGTGTGGGACAGTGTGAAATCCCGAAGGGTGAAGCAGACCTCAGTTCAGCAGCTGATGCACCTGGAATATCTGTCTCAGTGTAGCATAGATCCCAGCCGCTCTGTCCCAGGAGGTCAGTCAAGCACATCTGACCTTAAACTTACCTTGATGATTTATTTTTCCACACTTATACTGACGGAGGGCTCACGGCGGAGTGGGGCAAAAAATACTTTCTTAGCTTGAGCTAAATCTTGGTTTTTAATAAATCTGAGATAGCTTAAGCTCTTAAGCAGCAATAAACATGTATTTAGCTTGTCAGTACAGTAGACTGTATGTTTATACTGCAGACAACGCCTCCCCTCATTATCACACACAGCAGCCAGGATCCACCCAGTGCGGTTAACTCTGCACGCTTCTGACTTCTGAATGGTTGAACACAAAGATATGGAAATTGTCCCTGCCAGCTGCTGGTGCAGTTTCGTTTTTTTCTGACAGAGACGCAAAGATTAAAAAAAAAAAAAAAAAGTCAGGCTGGAGCAGTACAGTTTTTAAAACAATGTGTCTTCCTATTTTTTTTTTCCTTTCCCAAATGCTCACCTTTAAATTAGAGGTAAGTAGTAGAACTCCAAAGCAGATTGTGAAACTATTTCTTTAAACTCTGTAGAAACACCAAGAAAATATTTAGTACTAGTTATGCCTTTAAAAAGCCTGGATAATCTTGAATATACACTTTATATGTAGCAAACTTAAACTTTTTACCCTGTAGATTAAGACTGTACAGTGAATGTCTGCATTGTTACATTGTTTTTACTCAATAGTTTAGAAATAGAACCTGATGTGATTTAATATTTTTGATTGGTGAATACATTTGAATTTTATAAATATACATACCTTCTTTATACTTATAATAAAAATCATAGGTGAAGTGTTCACTGTACAGTCCAATTTTGACAGCTTCTGACACTGACTCCATTTGTGTACAATAACATAGTTAAAAATCCAATATCCATGTCGAGTACAAACACCCCTCCCTTTGGGTATACATTTACACACAAAGTAATGACCATGTGCACACAAAACCCACTTAATTGTTTATTTGAAATTTTGATTGTTGGCAAATAGCTTTTTGTGTCTCACACTCTGCAGGGCTGCTCCATTTTTTGCTGATTAGGATTTTCCTG